GCGGCTTCACAACGAGCGACGTCTGTCCTCTGCTACCTTTCCTTCATCCGTGCCTTTAGCGTTTAGATGTAAAGGCTATGTCAAAGCTCACCAGTGGTGCTGCAATTTCTTACTGCTCTTTCAACGGCATGGCGCTCGCTTTCTTGCACGCATAACAGAAAGGCGCAACGAAGGAACGTTAAACCAAAACGGTTGGTTGCGCCGTTTCATAATCATGAGCCCTTACCAAGTCACGCAACAATCAGCGCTACTGAACGAGACTTTGTCAAGCTCTCGTTTTGTGACAACGAGCCAGAATTCAGTGAACTTCGATATCCACTCGAATTATTAACAGTTTTCAATTTTACAGGAGATGCTCTTAATTGACGAAATATCTGTTCAAGATGCATTTGCTGGTTATTCAGAATCGAACCATCATTACATATAATTATGCCGCAATGTCGGTACGACCCATGGTGTGTAAAAAATGCATCCTCACACAAAACAGTGCAGCTGCATTGAGGCGTCACAAATTATTCCTGAATGGCAATGAGAAATATTGCACCAGCTTTATAATGCAGAATAATATAAAATTTCCATTTATGCGAATTCTAAGAAAAACTTTTCGGTGGTTTGTCTCCCGTCACAGCGTCTGTTTTACATCGCATAAGTCATGACGCTTCATTTCCAGCCTAATCTCACTGCCGTGCAATTTGCTTTCTATTGAATGTCAATATTTTAGGGCAAACTGAGACATAAAACAGAGTGTAGATGCAACAGCTGCGTTAACGAGGCGTTTCCCCGCTACACTATGCTTAGTTCAAGTACAGCGACGAGCAGGCAGCGCCTGGTAATGGTCTTCTCTTTGGTGCACATAAGACTACTTTTGCGAAAAACTACAAGCTGCTGGACATAGCAACTTGCTGTTCTTTGGTGCATTCAGGCCACTCCTTTTATGGAGAATAAATTCGCAGTCGCTAGGAACCGTTTCTATAATTTCAACCTCGTGCTTTCTGATTGTTGTTAGGTAAATCACCATTAAACACCTGTGAGAAGGTTAGTTGTCAAGCTCAATAAAAAGAGAAAAGTGAGCTCCGCAACTGTCTGCAGCTAAATGTGACACCTCAGAAATAGCTCATGAGGGACTGGGATAAGGAGGGTTTTAGAAAATTGGACCCGGTCGAAGTAGCCCAGGGCGGGGTGTCAATCGGCCTGACCTACATGGTGTCAGGTGCTCGCACACAGAGGGCCGATCGGCGAGAGGCTGCCGTCTGAACAGACGATACAACCGTTCAGCATGACATCCACCAAGAGAGTCCTATGTCATTCTTTTTTGAAGCTTTTATGCATCATGTGTGCAATTATTGTTGATGATTTGTGAAAGGTATTCATCATTCGTTAAAGGCACAATGTCTTTAACAGATACTAATTCTTGCCATCAAACCTGTTTCACTTCAAGGCTTACAATTACGAAGAATTTCTTTGCGCACAGCAGACTAATTTAGGGTATCTATCTATCTATCTATCTATCTATCTATCTATCTATCTATCTATCTATCTATCTATCTATCTGTCTCTCTGTCTATCTATCTATCTATCTACCTATCTACCTATCTATCTATCTACCTATCTACCTATCTATCTATCTATCTATCTATCTATCGAACTATGTTTGGTGTCCTCGTGATCACCCCTTATCATGCGGTAAGCCATACTTAGTCTGAGAGGGAATGATCGTCTGATGAATGTGACGCGCTGGTCATACCATGAATAATGCTACAACCACGTCACGTGCGTCATCAAACGCTTTCCGTCTGTCACATGTGGCACTTACTCGAATACACGGCCGGCTTGCCACTGCTGTCGTGCTAAAAGGTAGCTGTGGGCCTTTGTCAAGCTGCCTCTTTTGGAGAGCAGCTTTTACCTGCAGGTGTCCTTCATCAAACTATTGATGGAACATTAATATTATTATTATTATTATTATTATTATTATTATTATTATTATTATTATTATTATTATTATTATTATTATTATTATTATTATATGTGCAACAGGTGGTTGACATTTGATATCAATCCAGGAATGGCGACAACAGACACTTGTGCTTTCAACAAGAGAGTGCTGAGACAAAGCTGACATCGGCAGCATTGACCCGATGAATGCAAACAATACATTTCAAGGTCCCAGCAGGAATCGAACCCAAGCATTCTGCGTGGCAATCAAGTATTCTATTTCGGAGTCACGACAGGTCCTGATTGCTTTGCAAATGGACGCTAATGTTCGTGAGACTTTAATTGTGGTTGCGGTGCTGGTTATCCAGTGAATCAACATTATATATTTATTTTCATGTCAGAACGTTCCCGTCGGCGTAACATCAATTGCAGTTAGGCCTCTTCCATTTAAATTGATTTATTTAGTAGCGCCTAGGGCTGCTATACTCGGAGACAACTTTCTGTCGCAATGAAGGGAAGGCTAAGGGGGACAAAGAGAGTGCGTGCTACTGCTGTAGAATATAGTGCCACAAGTGCTCCCGGGTCCTGATTTCCCGAATGAGAATATTACAAAATAATAACATTATTTTTTACTGCATGCTGTTTATAAAGAGACGCTGCACGCACCGAGGAGATACTCATATCTGTTGTTGCTTTCTGAACAGCCGAATCGAGTTCTGGTGCGTCCGAAAACAACGCAAAGTTTTATGTGCACCTCACAGTCAAATTGTAGTCTTCGTCTCTAGGTAAGTGCACATCATCTTCCATTTATTTCAACAACCTGCTGAAGGTGCTTTTGTCGAGTTTCACTCCCATATAGCTGTGCAGGCAGACGTATCAAATTGTGTGAAGTGGCCGTTATTTGAAACGTGAGCCAAACCGGACTGCTTCGCGAAAAGTACAGAAGTAGTAGCTCCGCCCCTTTAGCTTTCCCTTCATTACCACAGAAAGTTGTCCCCGAGTACATCATGTTGCTGTTGGCTTCGTATGCGCAGCTGTACAAAACTACTAACATAAAACATTAGCGTATGTTCAACTTATGCGTGTGCATACAACATGCGTACATGTATTTTACCTCATATTGTAACTTCTTGCTCGATAAAAAAATCACAGCTTCGCCACAAAGGCGGAGCGATGAACGCAATAGCAACAAACTTGAAGGTCACGCGCAGAATGGCAAGCAGATCGAAACGTGCTCACTTTTCACACACCCAAATAACACAAAGTGTACTAACAGGTACAGATTAACGCCAAAAATTGTATCAGTTGTTACTACGCTGTGTGTGAAAAGCGCGCCCTTTTCGCAAACGGAGACTGTGCAATGCGAGCAGTTACCTTCGTGTGCCCGGTAACTACAACAGAATCGCTCTGGTGAAAGCCCAAGGCATACGATTGTCCCCACCACGAGATCAGCAAGTGCATGCGTGGGCGTACACCCTGCCCCCTCTTGGAGAGGCAAAGTACGCGTGGCAGATGAGAGCGCGCGCCATTGCGTCGTGACGATGTGGCGCCACGCGCGCACTGCGCCATCTCACAGCTGATGCTTGAGGGCTCCATTTCTCGTGTTTTGGCACATTATTAACGAGATCTAACAGATAATAATCCCAAAGAAAGTATAGGGGAGGTTATTAGGCCAATTGTATTGTAAACGTCAAGAAAGAAAAGTTGGTGAAAAAATAACTTGCCGTGGGCAGGATCCGAACCTGTGACCTTCGAATAACGCGTGCGATGCTTTACCACTGAGCTACCACGACAGCTATCCCCCCGCCCCAGCCACAATATTGGGTATCTATGTGAATTTAAACGTGGGAGTGTCAGTCACCGCCACCAGTAGCCATGGCGGCGAGGGTGGCACATCTTTATGAACCTGTTTGCGTCACGTAGCACGTGAGCGTATGACAGCGTACCAATAGTCCCTCGTATACAACCTAAAGGCACTAAGTCCACCCGTACGCGACCCTCGTTAATGAATAAGGGAAACAAGTGTATACTTAAGGGCTCGCTTAACAGTCACGTTCACTCCACATGCTTGGGAAGACATTGGTGCCGAAGGTACGTTAGATCTGCCTATATCTTTTTACTAAGTAGTTTCAATGCTGCTGGCCAGCCCGGCCTTTATGAGCCTCATCGGTTCATTGAGTAAGCATAACAGCATGCTTGAGAATGGGACCTGCGGCTCGAGAAAACTAATAAAATCGATTTAAATACCTAATATAGATTTGCGGACACGAGTATTATGTGATATTAAGACAATGTATTGATGAGGAAAAATAATACAAGTGCACGTTGTTACAATTAGATGCACGAAAAAGAAGCCGATGGGATCAGATTTCGCTAATCCTCCACTGTGGCGCCTCCTGAAATTATATCACAATTTCCGATGCAAAACCCTTAAAGTTATTAAACTTGCAAGATCTTAACCATATAGGTTTAGAGGCCTCTTATGTGTTAAAAATATGCCAGAGAAAATACAAGCCTTGTTTTGTTTTGTGAAGGCCAGCGAATAAGTATATAAATATCAGAACCACTCTAAAAAGTAGTTATATGCTCTAAATTACAGGGCTAGAAGAGACGGACATAAGCAGTTCAGATACCAGAAATGCCGACTGTCATATGAAGATGAGCATTTACGGCGGAAAAGACAGGAGGCAAGAAAACTTATCGCCGGATGCCACCGCAAAATGTTACTTATCAAGCTGGTACACGTGGTAGTCTACATGAAAGGTAAGTGCTAAGCCATTTGAATTCATCTTTATAGAGTATAATCAACGGCTGACCCATGCATGCAATACTACTACTATCACTATGCTACGCCCAATCTCATACAAATACCCTCAATGCTATGCCGGTACAAAGCCGCGCATTGATCAAGTTTTCGCGTGCAGTCTCACCATGCCACTAAAGTTTTGAGGAAGAGCTGTTTTCTTTTTTTTTAGCTACAGGCTCCACCTGTGACCATCATGTTGGCAGCGCTTCCGTTGCGCTCGTCGGTTGACATATTAAGCGTGAAGTACGTATGCGTGCCGTACCTAGGGCACTCACATCCATGCGGTCTACATGTCGGGGGTCAAATTCTCCTTGAAGCTGAATGCTAACCCTGTGAATTAGAAAAATAAGTGCAAATTAAAATCAATCTAACAACTAATAAGATAAAAACATACCTTTGTGTTCTGATCAAGAAAGTCCTGTTGAAGAAAATTGCTCGGGGGTCTATAATTCGCATTTGCTCAAACTGACAGCGAATGGCAGTTTGCATAGACGCTCTGACTGTCCATATGCGTTCAGATGTGTTGACAAACTAAAAAGAAACGCCAAAATCAGAAAAAAATTAGGCTGGTATTTTTTATAAATATTTACAATTAGCTCCAATCAGTCTGCGTATGAAACAGTTGTAATATAGTTGAGTTGCCTCATTTAAGATTAGCATATACGCGGGTTTTCTTTTTCCCTGTGTTTTTTTTTTTGCACGAAAAGCCTAATAACTCTGATTTCCATCTATGTCAACTCGCAGTTTTACTTAGCATATGCAACGCTAACAGATCATAGAGAGAAATAAAACTGGCAGCTCAGGAGCTTCTCTCACTATTTCTTTTGTGATTCCTTTGTGTACACGTTCCTTTCAATTGGATGTGCTTAGAAGGCCTTTTGTCGTGCTCAAAACCGAAGCAGATCAGCAGAATGGCTCACAATGTTTGAGAGAGAGAGAGAGGGCGGAGAAATACCCCTCATTAAAAGGTCAATGTTTTTGTGAGTTAGACTTCATAGTGCGATGTTCTGTAACATAATGTGAGATGTCTTCTCTTGTTTTTTAAGCCAGCATCCTGAGTCATTTGGTATTTTGTTTGTTCAATGAGCGTAGCATTCAGCAATACATACTACAAAACCATTGATGTAAATAACTGCATCTTGCACTGGATTCATGCACACACTTCTGGTACTGTTAACCGTTGTTCGTTTCTCATTCACATGATGCGCTGGTCATGACATCAACAAAGTCCTAAAAATGCGCTTCAGTTGCTACGGAAGACGAAGTTAGGGAGGAGACAAGAATTGATGTGGACAGCGCAAGTGCAACTGAAATTCATATATTGTCTCCTCCCTAACTTCGTTCTCTGCAGCTACTGTAGCGCAATTTTTCAGTCATGAAAAACCAACTAGCTCATTACCTCACTTTTCTCATAAATAATGTCGAAATCTCGTCGCGTACGTCGTCAGACACTTTCCAAAAGCAGTGGCACATATACGGGGTGGGTATATGCCACAGGTTTGGACATTTTACATTTACCCAGTAACGGCGAGAACACACAAGGGCAACCTTAACGCTTGAGCATTAAGGAAAGGGGCCAATAGCAGCGTTGACCCAACAAATGCGAACAATGAATGTCAGTGCCCCAGCAATTTGCGGGGTGATGATATATTCTGCCACAGAGCCATGCCAGGCCTCGGATAGACTTTTGAAGCAGACCCCAATGTTTCCGTAACGTCACTTGTCTTCATAGTACTGGCTATCAAACTCAACGAACATTACACGTGTACTTTAGACGTGCCTGTGGCAGCCGTCATTTTGAGTTAACAGAAATTGCAGTTAGACGCCATTCGCTGAAGTTCATTTGTGTAACAGTGTTGAGGGATACCATGCTTGCGCGCACCAGTGCAAACACCAGCGCTTCATATCTGCGAACCATTTCTGGTGATGGTAATATTCATTCACTTTTGGCACTTTACGCAGCTGTAAAGAACTGCTAATATAAAACATCCGCTGCTGTTTCTGCATGTGCGTGCTCGGATTTGTAAATATATTTAGCGCCACTTCATACCACTTCTCTGAATAAAAAAGCAAGCACATTCATTTTCCATCCGCCGAATTTCTCGTCATTGCATCAGATATTATATACGTTGTCGAAATAAAAAATTAAAGAATTAGGCAAAAGTTGCGGAAGCAAGTATAGGAACACCGTATGACAAATTTAGCCATTGATAGGGCTGCCGCCCTCATTTGCAACATAAAGTATAACTTTACAACCTTACCTCCTGCCTCGTATTTTTTACACATGAGTAAAAGCTCACGAGCGCTGAGGATGAACGCTGCTGGAGCACAGAATGGGCCAGCTACCTCCGTCACACTGACGGCGCATGCGAGTGTATTCAGTCAATGCTTCGCGAGATTAGCGGAATAGAAGGAGCGAAATGCGCATGCGCAGTACGCTAAACAACGAGTAGCGTGTGCACCATACGTGCGCTTTTTTGCATATTTATAGCTACAGTATTTGCGTGGCTAACGTATTGTACGTCAAACTTGGCGGTGGTTTCAGACGCCTGCTTCAAGCTGAATTTAGCGTTAGTAATGATAGACTCACTTCTTTCGTAGGAAACGACTGTGCGAAATAACCTTGCTGGCCTTTAGCTAGCTTCGTTGATCGATTGTTGCGAATAACTTAGCGTTGTTGTTCAGCTTCCTCCTCATTTTGAACCTCTCCAGACTTATTTATAAGATCACTGTAAACATGTGTAGAACAAAATATTTGTGCTTTTGGTTCGTAGTTCAATGTTATTTACTTTTGTTGTTACAAAATAATCACAGCATATCCATGGAGGGAATGATGGTGTGCGGGGCGAACCGTCCATTCATCTGTCCGTGCTTCCGTCCGTTCGTATTTCGGTACTTTCATCCGTCTCTCCAAACGTGCTTTCGTCCGTGTGTCCATCAGTCCGTCCATGCTTCCGTCCATCTGTCTATCTGTCCGTGCTTCCGTCTGTCAATCCAACCGTGCTACCGACAGTCTGTCCATGCACTGTTCCATTCGTTCATGCTTCTGTCCATCAAAAATGGATACGCGTAATGCTTTAGTCGGGCTCTTTCTGTTGCAGCTCTGCTGCTCAGGAGGCGTGTCTTGCACCGGGCCGCCAGACATGCCAAGGTGTTAAATTGGAGAAACCTCCATCCTTTCTATTGGCTCAAACAAGTACGAAATACATACGTACCCCGAGTCAAAGTGCCTTTCGCAAACTGGAGAATTTTGTCCAGTTTTCTCTCTAGGTCCTTGGTATGACGCGTGCCCGCTTTTCCAAAACATCTTGACGGGCAGGTGCACGAAACTGGGAGTTACAGGTCTCTTCAATTTGGCTTATTGCACTGCTTGCAAAAGTTGTGAAAAGTGTCACAGTGGTGCCAGTGGTGCTGTGGGCGCACGGCACCGGTTCAGCAAGTGCAGGTGCAGCCGTGTCATGAACGCGAGTAAAGCACAGTGGGTACTGCCAAGTGCAGGAAGAGTTCGTGATGTGTATCAAGATGTTGTCTACCATCGATACACGCGGCGTATATCAATGGCGTTGCTTAACAAAAGCACTGCGGCGATGGCTGTCTTCATGCCGTATAAAAATTGGCACCAGCTTGACTTAGCTGTTCTGGTACGCGTACCCTGAACCACACACAGCTTTGTCTGCTCCAAGTTTGGGAGGAGGAAGGGGCGCACGCCATGCTGCATCTTTTTGCACCTCCTCTTGAGCAAGTGCAGCCTGGCGGAGAACTCGAGCAGCCGCTTGTACCACGACAAAACGAAAGAACCAGTGCAGAGCGTGCGCGTAGCACCAGCTAATTGAGAAGAAAGGTGCTGCATCCGTTGAACAGGTGCCGCCATTGCAACCAAATAAAAGAGACCCTATTTCAACACAGGTCTTGAAGCAGTCCTCGCACCCTCGTACAAAACACCACCTCTGCGTTTTTTTTTTTTTTTTCCCGTCGATGCCATTCTTCACAGCGGTTCAAAAATCGACGACATCCGCTGACACAATCGCCTTCAAGGAATCGGGAAGCAATAGAAAAACAGGCCACACTTTTCTAAGAGCGCTGCTCCGTACGAGGCGCGAGAAACGTATGTTCACAGTGGGCACATGCCAAGGGCGCCCCTGACTGACGCGCCAAGTTTTCCTGCAGTGGCGAGAAGGCGCAATGTGGTCTCGTGAGCCAATGAGAGCGCCACAGCAATCATCACACCTCCCCATTCTAGCCAGCCCACCACCACAAGTCCAGGTGCCATGGCCGTGAATGCACTTTTATGAAGGGTGAGGCGGAGAAAATGTCATGTTTCCCCAACCAGACAGGTAAAAATGTCAAAATGTTAGCCTTCATGTGCCCTATCTCTCAAATAAAATGCTTTTTTTCTCTCTCTATGACAACCAATGCTCGAATAGAAACAGTTTTGACATAGACAATAAAACAACGCTGGCCTGTGAACAGAACGTAGAAAAAAAAATTTCCTAGAATAATGGCGCGCACGTTGTAAGCCTCCACGTGCGTCACCTTCCATGACCTCCGGACGCTTTCACAGACGTGTATGTTGGGTAAACTGGTAAACCTTACACTAATTTGTCAGTATATGATGAAACTGCAGCTGGCATAGATGGTGTGACGTAAGAACCTTTTATTGCCAATTTATTTATTTTTTTACGTAGTATTGAACATTTCTCTATTTTGGGATTGAGGCTGTTAAATTTGAAGCAATACATGCTAATGCAAGTACTATACTTTGAAAAAGTTCACTACGCCGATCACCAAAACAGAGTGGGCATTAAAGATAAAGAAAAGAAAACAAGAACAAGGCCAACTTCTGTGGAAAAGAGTTCTGCAAAGAAGAATGAAAGTACGCTTTTCTTAAACACAGGCTAAAACACGCAAACTGTAAGTGTCTGATTTGCTTGAAGTGAGACGATCACCATGAACTAAAGTTCGAGTGTAACATCGGAAATAATATCTGATAAAACTAGGCAATCATCACGAAAGGCATTCCTGATGTCGTCTTCAAGATTATCAAAATGTACCCATTTGGTTTCAAGAAGTCCTTTCGCATGTTTCAGAGATAGAGCTATTGATTTAGAAATATATGAGAAACTTTTGTTCATTATGAATTTCGTTCGTGTCACGGAGTAATGTTCTTTATGATGTATAAGTTGCCTGACACCACAGCACATGAGATCAACTTCTTGATATTGAACGCCGGTACTGCGTGTGTGTGTGTGTGTGTGTGTGTGTGTGTGTGTGTGTGCGTGTGCGTGTGTACGTGTGTGTGCGTGTGCATGTGTTCGTGTGTGTGTGCGTGTGTGCGTGTGCATGTGCGTGTGTGTGTTCGTGTGTGTGTGTGTGCATGTGCGTGTGCGTGTGTGTGTGCGTGTGCATGTGTGTGCTTGCGTGTGTGTGTGTTCGTGCGTGTGTGTGTGTGTGTTCGTGCGCGTGCGTGTGTGCGTGTGCGTGTGTGCATGTGTGTGTGCATGTGCGTGTGCGTGTGCGTGTGTGTGCTTGCGTGTGTGTGTGTGTGCGTGTGCATGTGTGTGCTTGCGTGTGCGTGTGTGTGTGTGCGTGCGTGTGTGTGTGTGCGTGCGTGTGTGTGTGTGCGTGTGTCTGTGTGTGCGTGTGTGTCTGTTCGTGCGTGTGTGTGTGTTCGTGCGCGTGTGTGTGTGCGTGTGCGTGTGTGTGCCTGCGTGTGAGTGTGTGTGTGTGTGTGTGCATGTGTGTGGGGGGGGATTTAGCGACTATGCATGGCCTGAGTGTCCCCAGATTTTGTGCCTCTCCCGTGAGATGCAGTTCTCATGTATAAATATTTTTTTGCTGATTCATGCAGGAAGCAATCAACTGAACTCTTGCGTCATCAATGAAGCTGTGAATGGTCTTTTGGGAATGGTGAACAGTTGTTCCCGGTGGCCACGCTTTTCTTCGTTTGCCGTGCACAGTTTTGCGGCATTCTGGGCTTAGTTTTGAAGCGCTTGGCTTAAAACTTCAGTGCTGTTGGTTTAATGGGATTTGCCTTCTTTTCTTTCACTTTTTGTGGCGTTTTGCATGTTTCTTTCTTCTTGTCTATTCCCAAATGCTGGGTAATCAAGCATTGAATACAGCGTATTTTGAATAAAAAAAGAACGAGGACTCAATTGTTCTCTTGAATTTCATCTGCTAGAACTCTGTCAAAAGAAATACACAGTAACAATGAAGTACTTGCATCAGAATTGCGATTTCCATTATCTAACTGTCGCGTGACACGATCAGCATAGAAGAAACAGAGGATGAAACAGCTTCAAAAAGTTTCTGATACATCTCACTGAAATTTCGTCCGGACGAAGTAGAAACATTCGCTGAAATACTCCGAAGGTGCCCCACAAAAGCTACGGATAGTCGGAGTGAATTACCCACGAAAAATGCTCCCGAAATTTCGCGTAATCATTTCGGCCAGCCGGAGTGAATGGCCGGTAAAAAATGCTCCGTTCGGCACTACGCAATTATTCCAGGCTGGCCGGAATGAAATATCAGTGAGAAATGCTCCAGATGTGCCACGTAATCGGTCTGGTCAGGCGGAGTAAACACTTAGTTCCAGAAGTTCGGAGCAAAAAATACTACGATAAGGGGGTTGTTAGAGGACAAGCGTTATCTTCCGACGTTGGAGTCATTTTTCACACCGTGGTCTTCCTTGCGCCGGAGTGAACATACAGTGAAAAAATTTGGCAGATCCCACGTTCCTGGGAATCGACGTTATGCGAAGCGTGTGGAGGAAAGCTGACCATGTTGCAATTTTTTTACTGCGACATGGCATGAAATGACGCTAAATATATGTACGAATGTTGCACGCACACACATACGTTGAATAGTTGCAATGTTTAAATAACCAGTTGCCCGCACTTGCGCAGCGATGCCAACTATAACATGCGTATTAACAACACCAGAAGCTGATATTGAACGCTGATGTTCCCGATGATGCTGGCCCTGGACACTGCTACACAGGTGAGCTCAAGCGCATGGCAGCTAACCAAGATTGACGTTCACCCGAAGTGAAAACTGTATCAAAGGAGTACATATGCAGTGTTAATAAAATTCAGTTGGCAGCACTGCAACCACTGTTGACGTTTCACGAAGATTAACGTCTATTTGAAAAGTCGTTTCGTAACCGGGCGTAACTCTGTGGTAAAATGCTTCATTGCCACGCAGAATGCCTGGGTTCGATTCAGGCTGGGACCCTAACATTTATTCTTTGCATTCTTCGGGTCGACGCTTCCGATGTCGGGTATTTCTTTACACTCGCGCGTTAAAATTACTCCTGCGTGTTCTATTCGTTCCTCGGCAGACACTAAGTGCCAATTACCTGTTGCACATACCCGCATACAAGCGGCACATACCCGCCCATAGGTATGTGTCACTGCCTGGCGGGAAGTGTCTGATGACGTACGCGACGGCATTGTCACATTATTCATGTCTTGACCAGCGCGTCATATTTATGAAACCATTTTAACCTCCCAAGCTAATTTTGGTTCACACAACAAGTTAGGGGGGTGATCACGAGAGCACGCAAACCTAAGCGGCTAAATAGATAGATAGATAGATAGATAGATAGATACGCTCAAAGTCAGCGAAGTTCGCTAAAAAATGCTTCGAGTTAAACCGCCATGCCTGCGCGAAACCCGCACCACAGTCACTGCGTAAGCTAGAAGAGCGGCTTTTCAGAGCCTTTTGTGAACACTCATTTGGTAACTGCTGCAAGCACACTTGCTTGATAGCCTCCACTGCGTTAATATTAAAAAAATCGAGTAGTAGGCTGGCATTCACTAAGCTATTTTTGGTCATTCATTTTAGAAACATGTTCCGCTAAACTATTGCGAGGAATTTTGCGCCAATTGTCCATGCAGGGCCTGACGACGATGAGGAAATATGCCCGAAGTGGGCATGTGCCACAGTCAATAGCTGAACAAAACAAGCTTGTGTAATAGGTCGGAGCATGGGACAACCTACTCGCCACGCTATTTGCATTGCGCGTTGACTGCATGCTCTTCCGCTGTTTTCAAACCCTTTACAAGTCGTACTAACGTGATTTCTTTTCCGACATCAAGCCTGCATAAGGCAAGTTTGTCAACACGTCTAAGCGCTGGTGTAGCTTAGTGCCAATAAAGAAAGAAAAGAGCTGGTGTACCTCAGTGGTCAATAAAGAGCTGGTGTAGCTCAGTGGTAGGATACTGGGCTAGCAGCCCAACAGACCCGCGTGCTCGTCCCGGTGTTTTACTGGTGAAAGTTATTTTTTTCTAAATTCGCACGATGTGGTTACGGACACCGGCGGTGGCGGCGGCCGCGGCGGTGGCAGCGGACAACTACGGCGCTGTGCGAGAACCGAGTTCTGATCTCGTAAGAGCTTTTGCTGAAGAATATTCTGGAGACATTAGACAGCCACTACAGCCAGCCGGTGTAATATATCAGTGATAATCGCCCCCGCGGCACACCGCAATAACTCCTGTTGACCAGAGTCAAATATTAGGGAAAGGTACACCGGCTGCTCTAAGTTATTACTCCGGCCAGCAGAAGTAAAAATTACTTAAAACAGGGGGGTTGCTAAGGAACAGGTATTTTACTCCCTTTTGCGAGTATTGTTTTTCTACAACAGTGTATGGAGGGGGAAAGGGAGCTCAACATCAATTGTGGTGTCAGTGCCGATTAGCGATTTACCTTTGTTTCAATGAAAAAAAAAAACTTAAGACATGTTCTTGTGTTAGGCAGGCGTCATAAGGGCTTAACGTCAGTTGTGCTGGAAGTGTTGGGTCTGCTTTTACAGAAACATAAGAAACAGTATTTGTATATATGATTCAACAAGCTATACTGAAGTGTTGCTCAAACTCAGAAAAATACACTCATTGAAAGCAGAATGTGATATTTAGGCCATCACCCCATAAAGTGCAGTTGGCTTCGATAATACTGACTTATATCCTATAGAATTGGTGCTCACGTTAAGAAATTTATTATTTACTCTTTTAGTGCCCATGTATTCCACGTTCTTATTTACGTCACAATGTGGATACAGGCACTGCATTTGTTCAGACATGTCGTTTCATTGGGAGCCAAAAAAATTCAGCACAGTCGTTTCTTGGCGACTGCTTCACATAAAATTCAATTTTAAGACACTGATTCTGGTGAACTCTTTTTAAAATAACTCGCTGTTTTCAGGTGAAAGCACCTGCTTGAGCCATGTAAAGGGCGCCATTCAAATGAAGCGGAAAAAATAATAACTTACATGCTTCATCGAATATCTGTGTCGACGACGTGTCGGCAGACAGCGACGGATTGTATTCGTTTCACCGGCAACGTAAAACAAAATCATTGCCACAAGAATCTTGTTGTACATGGCAGTATAGTGGTAGGTCTGAGTATGACTGGACGCATAAGTGAAGTAGAAGTGTCAATGCAACGGACATCGGTAGGCTATTCTGCTGCACTTCTACTACAATAGAATAAACTAGCGAAACTTCGTAGTTTAATTTTGAAAGGCTCTGAAGCATCTGTGATTCCACAACATCTGCATATTCGTAATGGTTAGGCAGTGAGGAGTATTCAACAATGAAGTGTGTCAATTCGACAGGTCACTTTAGAGAAGCAGCCTTCCAGTGTGTCACTTTTTTTTGTCGAGGCATTATCAAACACATAACAACATGCTGCTCAAAAACAGTGTAAATAAATATAAAATTGGGTAGCATCAAATGCTTTTTTCCGTTACTCTACGCTGGAAATAAGACGTGAAAAATTTTTCTTTCTGTGCCGACAGGACTGTTTGTGCACCACCATCCTTTGGCCACAACTGGGAACATAATGTAACAATTGTATTACAAGCGGATGAAGTATGCTATTTCTTTGAGTGCCAGCTAAAACTATTTGCAATTTTTTCTCAAATCTGCTTTCACAGCGCACCATTTTAAAGAAGCAATATTTGCGAGGTCGATACCTACATGAGGTAGGTAACAAGAACACACTGCATAAAAAAATGGCCCCACTTCACCAGAAGAATCGTGACGAAGTGTGAATGCATTGCGTAGCGTCGATAACAGCGTTTCGCACGGGAGAACTCATGGTTAGAAGAATAATGTTTTCTTTTTTTAAATGCGAACCAATTCTTAGCGAACTTCGGTGACTTTAAGCGTATGTATCTATCTACCTAGCCGCTTATGACTTTTAGCTCTCTTGGCCGTTTCGCTAATGGTATCGACACCAAACTTGGTATGGCATAACATGACTGTATGAAGAACATATTTGACTAGTGATAACATGAAGATCTTTATATAAATGTCATGAAGATTATGAATCACATTCGTGGTTTTGGAGCTATTGCGGTGGTTTTGTTCACTTGGACTGTTGCAAACCTGGTATGGTATGGCATGATTGCAGACCGAACACAAGCAACCGACCCTAGAATGTAAACCATGACATGCTTGTCACGTAACAACATGACTACATGACACGCTCATGATGCGCTCGTGGCTGTTTCGCTAGCGTCACATATACCAAATTTGATATTACAATACATAAATAGATGTCAAAGGTATGGGACTGGTGGAAAACTGAAAATCATCAGATGCGTGTCATGTAACAACATGACTACATGCCACGCTAATGACGCGCTGACGGCCGTTTCGCTAGCCTCACTTACAGCAAATGTGGTATACGGGACGTGAATAGATAACGAAGGTATGTTACTGGTGTCACTCATGATAAACTTAAGATGCATTCTCTCCTACACTCTCTCGCAACACATGCTTTGAATGCTAAACGCGATGATGAGCGCGTGCACTCGCAGCAGTTGCATAGAGAGAGGGAGTGCGAGTGGAAAGATAGCACCTGCCGGCGCGCGGACACCGCCGCGGACAACACCCGCCGGATGCTTGACATAGCCCAAATAAGAATAGTGTTCTCATATAATAGTAGCACAGTGTGGCGAAATAAGGTACTACTACTATAGTAGCGATGACCTGGAGCAGAGAGTCTGCCACGGCGGTAAAGCGGTTAAGATGCTCGGCTGCTAATCCGAATATCGGAGTGTCGCGAGTATGATCCGAGCTAATCCGGTCGCATTTCGATGGAAGCCGAAGTGCTAAGAAGCCGTGTCTTGTGCGGTGTCAGTAATCAATAACGACCACCATGTCGTCAATACATCGGGAGTACTCCACTACAGTGTGGCTCATAGAGCTTAATGCGTGTAAAACCTATGAAACTGCTATTCCCTGGAGCTGCCGATTGAGCACGTGGCACAGTCTGTTCCGAGTAGTGCAAATAACACGAGACATCAGGTCCTGGTAGAATCCAACACGACAATTTATGGCTTAGCAAAGTGGTTGCTTTCGGTTCCACCATCGTTAATTTGTGTATTATCGACATTACTTGAGACAGACATATACTATAGTCAATATTACTTGAGACATGCCCTTTGTGGCGACAGTTCGCTATTATGAGGAGAAATGTTTTACACCTGTCGACTTTTGCTTTCTCACTGTGAATTGATAACAAAGTTCTTAGGCCTTTTTTTGCCATTGCTTACGGAAAATATTTGCAGGGCTTTTTTTGCAAAAAAATACTTGAGGTCTGAAATTTGCCTGTGTTTCCTCCAGGCTACTCAATATAAAATGTTTTCAGAACAAGCTGTCAACTGCTGTTATGAAGGTATACGTACAAAATGTTTGCCAACTCATAGACTAGGTGTTATACTTTGTACTAGTGAAATCAGATGGTGGTGAGTAGAAGATGCTGTTGAATATGCCAACGCGAAACAATAATTGAATATGCCTTTTCACAGCCAGCAGTCACTTCAATGAAAATGGACATTACTTAAACCAGCAATGACTGGGGATGCACAGACAGAAAACCCGCAAGAATAAAATACCGGAAATGCATCACAATAGTATCGCTTACACGGATAATAAAAGAATATAAACCGTTTTTTCCTAAAAACTATCGAGATCTGTTTTAGCGATCTGAAGTCGACTTAGGAATGTTTAAGGACAAATTCTCACTTTTAGTGTCCGAAGTGCCTGAATGCCTTCTTGTAAAGTTCGAACTGCCACTTTCAAAATCGGAAGTTGGAATAGCTATTGGTTGGCTGAACCCAAGAAAGTCACCTGTACCGGGTGGTTTGAGTGGTGCCTTTGGCAAAACCTTTCAGCCAAATTTTTCCCCAATTTCGATTTGTCTTTTCAATGAACCTTACAAGAAGAAAAAGTTACCTCTCGGCTTTCTGACGGCGATGACTTTAATCTCTAAAACAGAAGACAAAACTGAAGTTCGCCCTCTAAATTAGCGTCGTCCCATTACCTCAACAAATGCATATTGCAATCTCTTCATGAAATTATTATGCAAGTGATTACAGGGTGTAATAAAGAAAATAGCTGGTCCAATCCAGACGTGCGGAATCAAAGCACGCTCTACTGTCACCAATGTACATACATCTACTCTGGAGTGTTGCGATGCGAATAATAGATGTTCAGCCATGCTTCAGTGGGCTTCAAAAAATCTTTTGATCTTGTGTGACATGATGTGCTGCAGAGTGCTTTAAATTTTCTAAATGTTAGCTGCATTATTAAAGAGGGGGTTGCTAAGGCATTCAAGGTCTGTACAACGCCACTAATTGTTACTAAGGTAATGGTTATTTGAGATAAGGCAAATGTTATTTAAAAGAATGTTTTGGGTAATTAAAAAAGGCGTCGTTGAATGCAATGTTTATTGGCACATTTTTAGCGAGAATCTAGCCGGAATAAACTGAAAAAGGTTGTATAGCAATCTTGTCATTACTGTTTGACCGGTACCATTCACAGGAGATCACATACGGCTGGTCACGGTCAAAATGTACTGGCCTGGGTAAAAATAAATCGCAGCATATCTATAGAGTGAATGATGAATGACAATAAGTGGTGAGCAAAGCGCTGTACGGTTTCATCGATAAACCGTGCATCTTGTGAATACCGCCTACTACATCCTCAAGAACCTGACAAACACTGTATATATCTGTACCATATATTTTATCATTCGTAATTTGTAGCTATACACCGCTTGCTTCCCCCATCATTTTAATGGCTTGATGGCTGGTGAAGTAGTGGATTGGTGATGAGAGCGTAATGGAATGTTCGCAAGGACGAAGTAGTGGTCGGTTCGCAAACGTGGAACTATAGGCCGTCACGTACAAACAACAATAGGGATGAACACAGTGGGACAAACAATGGTTTTTTACCGCGTACCTGGATGCAAGTGCACGACCATCTGGCATTTCATATTGGCTACTTTTCAACAGTATTTGTTTTACGGTTGGGGAGGGGGTGGGTCGGTGATGGAGCGTAGAGGGTTGTTTGCAAGGGCGGAGTAGTGGGCAGTTGGCAAAGAGTGAACTATCAGCGGTCACGTACATATTGTCACCCACACGTAGTGGGTAGACTACAAGAGCGGCTCCAATCTGGAGGAAAAAAGAAGATCGCGTGCTTCTTCTCTGCCCGAGAGCCAACCATGACTGACGCATCGTCCTAGTGCTAGCTTCTCGGTGGTCTAATAAACTGCATTACTTGTGATTCATCGTGACAAACTGGTGGAAGTGCTGGATAGCCTCAAAGATGCTGCAGATTCCCTCCAGAGAGCCGTATTACGAGTCCAGTATCAGTTAATACTTCCTTTCATCGAACCAGCCGCCGAATCAGGGAATTGCCTCCGGAAGTCGACGGTACTGCTCCTACTACGTCGACAAACATGACAAGTGTTTCGGTACAAACCTCGCCAATCGGCACAGGAAGCACGACGTCAAACCGCTATACGTTGGAAAGCCCATGCTCTCCAGCGACGTTCCATGTTACGGAGGGTGAGAACGTTGAGGACTGGTTGGCGGACTTCGAACGCGTAGCCACCTTCAATCAGTGGGACGAAGTGGCAAAACTGGGTCATGTCTATTTTTATCTCGAAGACGGGGCATGTACGTGGTATCAAAATTGAGAGAAGCACCTGACGACGTGGCCCGAATTCTCTCGTAGACTTCTGTAAACTTATGCCAGCGCTGATCACCAAAAAAATCTGAACGAGCTATTCTGGCCCGCGTCCAGTCTCCAAACGAAACTGTGCGCACGTACGTCGAAGACATGACGCGACTCTTCCGACGGGCCGATTCAAGAATAATGGAGGGTAAGAAGTTGCGTCACTTGATGTGCGGTGCAAGGACCAGCTTTTTCCCAGCCTCGTGCGCAGCCCTTCTAAGACGGTCGCGGAGTTCTTGTCCGAAGCCTTGATAATGGAAAAAATGCTGCAGCAGCGATCCAACTAATACGACAGGCAAGTCAGTGCCATGTTTACTGTTGACATTTGCACCGCCACTGAAACCAGCAATGACTCTCTACGTGAACTCATCCGTGACATAGTACATGAAGAGTTGCAAAAGGCTGGTGTAACACCTCATCTTATGGTTAGCTCTATTGCAACTGTGATCAAGGATGAGCTGCACCAGGTCC